CAGTTTCCTTCCGAATAAACATTTTGGTATTTCACCACTGAGATTGTTGTTGGACAAGTCTAGAACTTGCAGGTAAATAGCATCACATATAGACTTGGGAATCACACCTGTAAGGCCGTTGCTCGAGAGAGAAAAGAACACAGTGTAGGCAAGATAGTTACCAATGTTATTTGGTAAAGAAGAAGCAAAACTATTACTTGAATAGTCCAGATAGCTTGCAAATGTAGGTAGAGTTGGAATATTACCACTGAGGTTGTTGGAATGCAGGTCAAGGATCAAAAGATTAGGCATTTGGTAAGATTTCTGCAGACCCTCAAGCTGATTATATGAAAGGTTCAAATGCTGGAGGTTATCACTGACATTCCAAATCCAATTGGGTACTTCACCTGAAATAAGGTTTTCTGAAAGATCCAGAAAGGCTAACTTTGATTGGTTCTTTAGATCGGGGAAGACTTTCAGTTTGCAGGAAGCAAGGTTTAATCTAGTAATCTTGGGAAAGGATGATAACGTCGAATAACTCCCAGTTGCATCGACAGACAAGTTATTGTGTGAAAGGTCAAGTTGTGTGAGATTCACAAGCTTCTGAATGCTTCCTAGCCATATAGTTCCATTGAACTTGTTGGAAGAAAGCAACAGAACATTAAGCCTACCGAGTTCGAAAACATTTGCAGGTATATGCCCTTGCAATTGGTTGGAACTAAGATCAAGAGTATCCAATAAATATTGTCTTCCTTTAGGAAAACCAGGAAAATCACCACCAAATCGATTGTTTGAAAGCTGAATCATCTTCATCGAAGGGAGTGCCACAATGGAGGAAGGAATGCTCCCACGAAATGAATTGTAGCTTAAATCAATGTGTGTAAGGTTTTGCAGACCTTCCCACTTAAATGACTCAATCTTGCCAGTCAGTTTATTATGAGAGAGATCGACATAGGCAAGATTTTTGGACAAATCAAAACGTGGGATTCCACCGGTGAAGTTATTGAACGACAAGTCCAAGTAAACAAGCTGGTGGAGATTGGAGATTGAACTCGGAAAAGCTCCACTGAAATTACAATATGAAAGGTCTAGTGTTGTCAGGTTCACAAGTTTGCCAATGGACTCTGGTAATAACTCAGAAAACTTTGTTCTGCTAAGAACTAGGTTCCTAAGAGAACCAACATGGCGAAATTCAGGCAAAGAACCATGAAGTTTCTCATTGTCAGGTATATAGAGAGACTGCAGCGTCGTTACCTGGAGTATCTCTTTTGGAAATGGTCCATGCAAGCTACAAGAACTGAGACGCAAAGAAGTCAAATTTGAAAGCCGAGCAAGGAATTTCGGAACCACAGCAGACAAATTATTCTCATCCAAGTGAATAACCGAGAGATTCTTCAAGTTTTTAAGGGAATCTTCAATTGGTCCGGAAAGGTTACAATTTGACAAGCTCAACACTTCCAGATTGGTCAATGGGGATAAACCCTTGCACCATTCATTCCCCCTTGCTGAAATTTTGACCCCATCAAGATGCAAAGATCTTAGCTTTGTCAGATTTTGAACAAGCATCTTTAAGTTTGGATTCTCAAGTTTCAAGGGTCGTCGAGTAACAAGAAGTGAACTTACAGATAAGTCGAGAGTAACCAAGCTTGTCAAGCGTGAAATCTCATCTGGAACTTGCCCTTTAAACCCAGCATTTGACAAATTAAGATAGCTCAAATTCGAAAACTGGTGAAACCCAGAAGGAAAACTGAAGTTCAACCTGTTATAAGCCAAATTCAACCGTTGAAGATGCTGGAGATTGAAGAGATTATCCAAATCCTCACTTGCTCCAGAAATCAACTGGTTGCTCAAGTCAAGTACGATAACCCGACCACTTTCATCGCAGGTTATACCATCCCAAGAACAACATTCCTTGCCTTGATTCCAATTCTTCGACTTTACAGATAATGAAAAATTGAGGGTGTTTTTCAACCCGAGCAGCAACTGTTGCTGAGGGCTTTGACATTGACCGGAACCCGAAACTGCAGTGACGAAGATAAAGAAAACTGCTGCGAAGGACTTCAATAGAAGGCGGCCTGAAAGGAGTGAAGTTCTCATCAGTAACAACAAGGACGACAGATGGCCTCATAGGCTATTGGCATTGAAAAATTGCAGAGACGAGAAGAAGAAGGGAGAAAGGCATAAAGCTGTGTTCTTTGTGGATTATTATTGTTTGTTGTTGACTTTTCTTTCAGTGTAACCACTACTTTGTCGAAAGACGCGTTGTTTTGTCGGTTTCAAGTGCTGTTTTCATGGAAGACTTTGGTTCAAGGTTCTGTGTTTGAAGTTAGAAAGAAAAACACACAAAGGAGTGCATGAAATCAGCCGTCCGGCAGTAATTATGATTAAAAATTGGTCATGCAAATCAGAGCATCCCCTAATTCAAACTAAACTTCTACTTTTATACATTGGTTTGGTAAGGGTTAAAATCAACTAAAACTCCTTATACTATATCCAAAAAAAAATCTAATTTAGTCCCTTAACTATTTAAAGGGACATTTCGATCCATGTATACTTGAAAAAGTGAATATTTCAATCTAAAATATTAACATATCATTAGTTGAACCAAAATATTGAGTTTAAATATCTCTTACGTTACTATCAAATATATATAGGATAAAGTACATTAAAGGTTGCTGAACTATATTAAAATGAACATTTTGGTTAGTAAACTTTTAAATGTTACAAAATGATCATTAAACTTATTGAGCTGTTACAAAATAATCCTTGCAACGTTATAAATAGTAATAATTTTTCGATAAGTTTAAGGATCATATTATAATAATCCAATAAATCTAATGGTAATTTTTTAATACTTCAGTAAATTTCAATGACCATTTTATAACCGTTTAAAAATTTTTATGGTCATTTTGTATTATTTGAAAGTCCGCAAACCAAAAGGATCATTTTGAAAGTTTAATTACATTAAATCATGTTTTTATAGTTTCTTCAAAATTTTATTGAAATTTTTACTAGTTTTTTAATGTTCTTCAAAATTTTATATGATTTTGAATATTATTTAAAGTTATCGATTTTAATTTTCTTTAAATTCATTAAATCACAATGGTAGACTCACGTACCAATTAAAAAAAGTTAACATTATTATAAACCATCTTTATTTACTTACTTTTAAAATGTATATGCTAAATTATCTTTTTTCAAAAGGATCAATTATAAATTGATAGAAATCTAATGAGTATCTAAATCCAATATCACAATTTAATTAACGACAAATATAATATTTTTAACTAAAATATTCACTTTTCTAAATATATATAATTAAAATAATTTTTAAATATTAGAAAGATTAAAATAAATTGTGGACATAATACAATTATTGGTAATAGACTTTAACTTTTAATACGACAGCTCTTCAGTCTATTATTATTTTATTAATTATTTTTTAATGACATTAATTATCATCATATGTATAACTATAAAATCTACTTAAAGATTTAATAAATTATGCTCATAAATATCGATGCATGATGAGTATATTTGTATTGAACAGTAGTGGATGAGAAATTAATGAACAACTTGTCACTTACTTCCACCTATAGTGGTGTAAATGAACATAACATTCGGTGAACTATTCATGAACCATTAGTATAACATTCATTTATGTTCGTTCATTAAGTTAAATAAACGAGTATGAACAAAAAAAATTATGTTTGTTTAATAAACGAACAAACATGGACATAGGTGTGTTTAGTTCGTTTATGATCACGAACAAGCTCGTTTACTCGGTTCTCCTTTTCCTTTTTTTTCACATTTTAAATATCGGTGAAGATAGAGACTAAATTGAACACATAATAAAAGTTAAAATTTAAATTGTGGATTTTAAATAGTTTAATTACTAGTGGTGTAATTTTATCATTTGTCTTCAGCTTTCAAATGAAAGGGTAAAACTAAAAATTGAATATATAAACGAAGGATAAACAAACATTAAACGAACGCTAAACGAATATATTTGTGAACAATAAATAAATGAACACGAACACCTTCAAAAATAAAAAAACGAACACGAACACGATATTAAAAATTTAAACGAACACGAACACCTTCAAAATAAACGAACGAGCACAAACCAAATATGAACACGAACACCTTAAAAAATAAACAAAAGAAACACGAATATAATTTTATTCATTCAATCTGAGATTATCTACACTCCTATCCACCTATTCTGCTCTTTAAATATTATAGTGGAAAAGAAGGAAATACAATGTTTGAAAACTTAAAAAGACAATGTGAAAATGAAATTAAGAACGTTGACTACGTTACCCACAAATTTGTCTTATCAAATTCTTCTTTAATCACTTCCAATTGTTGGGTTAAGGTTGGAACTCACCATGGTCTACAGTAATGCTGTGTTTTATTCTAATACAATAATTTTTTAAATAAACTACATCAGATATAACTGAATTGTAGGTGATATATTGTCCATATCATTAAACATTTAATTTTTTTTAATTAGTGACGATAGTCAATTATCTCCCGTCATCGGTCATCTTTCGAGGTAAAATCATATTAAAATGTTCGTTTTTTATTCATTTTTTAAATAAATTAATTTTTTATGAATCCTACTCAAAATCAAAATCGGTTATTCATGTATTATTATAACAAGTTAAATAAATGTATTCTTATATTATAAATGCTTTTAGACATGTATTTAATAGTTTTATACATGGATTATTATAATTACTATTGAGCTTGGTTATTCAACAGGTTTAATTATAATGGGTTCTTGCAATTATTGCAGAGACTTTGTAGGATTTAGGTGTGAAATGATGAAACTTTAATGGAAAATATTCATCATTTCACATTTCTTTCCGGCTTAATCAGCAAATTGACCCCTGAATTATACTGAAAATAAGTTATAGTTAAAGGATTACAAAACAGAGAACACAGAGAATCCCTGTAGGAGCGTAGGTACAAGTAGAAATCACTTGAACAAAGATCTAACTCTTACACAATTGACCTTAAAACAGAGATATAGTACGATGATTTCTGTTTCTGGGATCCAGCTTAGGGAATAACTTATAAACAACACCATCAGTGCGCTTATAATACCCTATCCTCCATCTCTTCCAAAACATAAGAGGTAAAATCACAACTCCTATTCCAAACACAAATCCTATCTCAACACTTATGAAATTCCATTCGATGTGATTACCATTCCCTGGATTTGAAGGGCCTTCTTTTGAAGTTGGAGGGGTTTCACATTGTACCTCCAATGGGAGTCCACATAGTCCTGCATTGTTTTCGAATGAAGCTTCCGAAAACGACTGAATCTGAGTGCCTAATGGGATCATTCCAGTCAATTTATTGTTGGAGAGATTGAGGAATGATAAGAAATTTAAGTTTGCTAGCTGCAAAGGAATCTGCCCGGTTAGTGATAGGGAAGCGGTGGTGGATTGATGAACGTTACTCTTGTTGAAGAATCAAACCTAGAAAGTTCTAGACTCGATGAAGAACAAAGGTGATGAATATGGGAAGGTGGCAGCAGTCGCTAGGATTGTTTAGGGTTTCTTTTATGTGCTAGAATCAAGACAACACGATTAGAATAAAATAAACAAAAGATAAATAAATGAAAGATGAAATAAGATAATAAAGAAATCAAAAAATCTCCCTTATGAAGGTGAACGGTAAAGATGATTGATGGTGCGGATGGATTTGTGGAAAAATAGATGGATAATGTCCTATCGAGCCCTCCTAGTCGCAATGAAAAGGCAAACACGATAATATGGCTCTAACCAACCCTCCTAGTCGCGATGAAAAGGCAAATTGGAGTGTGAAGATTAATCTCCCTCATAATAACTTGAAAGAACTCCAGGAGAAGAAGCTTCGAAGGCACAAGGCAATCAGCACTTGCAAAAATAAACTCTCGTTGTATTATTGATCAAAGAAATCTGATTTACAAAGTAGAATGAAGCCTCCTTTATATAGGGGCTGAGTTCTAAAGCTCCTAAACAACTAATGAATAAAATAATAATAAACTAAACATGTCTTAACTCTAATTCCTAATAAAATAATAATAACTAAAGATAATATTTTAACCCAACCTTAATTCCTAATAAAATAATAAATCTAATCCTAAAAGATAATGCATCATCCTATATTAAGTTATATTACAAATAATCAATATAAATATTGAAAATTCGTAATATTTACAAAATAACGTATTAATCCCGTATAGGATTTCCTGCATGCACCGTCTTCAGTAAAATGACCATATATTGAGTTCTCGATATCGGATTGATGCGATTCAAGAACCGTTGGAAAGATAAGAGACAGACAGTTGTATCTCCAGAAGACATGTCGACCAAATAAGATCAGGATCCCATTCAAAAAGTCGTCGCAAGTCTGCTACTGTTCTGATATTCTTTTCCAAAGCTTGGACGAGTGGATCATTTGGAAGAGTTATTACTTCTTCCTTTGATGTGAACCTTGTGATGCATGTATCATCCTCCCTTTCTTCAAAAAGATTCGACCTCGAATCTGAAACATTAAAGGGAGCAACATTAGAATAGTTTAATAATTCATTCACATTATGCTTACCGAATAGATATGCTTTGAATCTTCGAGACTTTGTTCTTCTAATAGGTTCGAGTAGAAACATTAGTCCAAAGAAGCATGTATTATGGACTCTGGTGCATGTATCATTCCCCCACTCCTCAAAAGGATTCATCCTCGAATCTGAAAATCCAAAAGAAAGAGAATTAGATGTGTTGAAATAAAAACTTGTGAAACATTTACCAGGATCAATGTGATGTGTCTTTATGCGTTTTAGTCGAGGTTTCTTCTTTGTAGGAACTGATTTCTTGTAGTCTTGAAATCCTCTTTTGCATACAAGTCTTGTAATCTGATGTTTTGGTTGAATTTCAACATGGCGCCGGTCACTGTTGGCTTTCTGTATGATTATTTCAGATAATTTCTCCATGGTTTTATTCGTGTGTGGCGAGAATGAGTGTTTAAAAACCATGTCAACTGGTTTGTTAACGTAATCCCTTAAGTCTCCTAAGTGTGGTTCATGTATTAATGATTCCCAGGAGGAGATTTGTGGACTGTATAACCTGTTTAGTTGGCAAGGAAACTCATATACAAGATAAAGCTCATTAAAAGCACTTTTAAATGTATGGGTAGAAATATCAGAAATATCCGAGTTATCGTGATATACATCTTTGATATGTTCAATTCTCGGAATAGTAGTATGAGTTTGATAGGTAAGAGTATACCTTCGTGGTAGTGTATCGTCTACTGTGTTTTGCTTACCTCGGTATGTTACGCACTTAAAGGAGTTGTGTTTAGTATGGATGACAACTTCACGAGCCTTACCTTGTAAGAAGGAGAAGAAGTACGTTACAATGTCATTAAAATGAGTAATAAAATATTTACCTTTGGACTCTCGTAAATCGTGACTCTTCATTGGTATGGCATAGTGATTAGGGCTTTCAGGTGGTAACCCGTCAGGAGGGTCACCTAGCACTATTCGACAACTCTTGGCGATGGAAGATGGTGTGGGACAGTCTCGTGTTGCTTTTACTTTCTCATCATTTACATGGATTCCCTGTGCACGAACTATAAAGCATGTGGAGTTGTTCAAGTCATGTTTCGTCATTAAGATGACGTTACGACTAAGGCTTTCATGGATGTAGCCTTTTTGTAACAAATCTAACTCTTTGGTTTCTTCGAGATTGTATGTTTGACGAGGTATGATAGAACCTTGAATTAGATTGGTTTGGTGTTTTTTTCCTTTTTCCAGTGGTAATCCGTCAGGTGGATCACCTAATTCTTCTCGAAAAGCCTGTAACAAAGATGAAAACACACTAGGCAAATCCTTGTTAATGTTAGAAATCGAAACAATTGATTCTCTAAAGCGAACAAGGATGAAAGGCTGTTTGTAAAGAAGGTTCTCTCTCAATTCTTTTGTGCTCACACGTAGATTTTGAGTCACTCTTTTCTTCTCACAATTAGGTTCACTCACCTCCCATGGGTCATTATGCTTTTGGCTTTTGTAACTAGTGACCTCTTTTTCTTTTGCCTCTTTCTCAACTTTTTCTTTTTTTGATTTCCCTACCTCCTCACAAATTTGATCTTTAGGGGCTGGAAGTGTGTCATTCTTTGCTGGTCGTTCTTTCTCATTGTCAGGTTTGTCATCTCTTGGCTTTTTCAGAGAAGATGGAGTAGAAGATGAGGAAGGATTTGAAGGGTTACCTTGGTAAGAGGATGAAGTACCTTGGTAATGTTCACTGATTCGAGATCTCCTTTGGATTTGTGCTTCGATTGTCATTGCTTTCTTTAGTGTATCTTCAAGGTTTTCGTACCCTTGTAGATCAAGAAGATCAGTGATGTTTGAGTTTAAGCCGACGACGAATCTTGACACGGTGACTTCTTCTTTTTCGGTTATGTTAGCCCTATTGAGTAAGGACTGCATCTCCTTGTAGTAATCTTCAACTGAACTTCTACCTTGTCGAAGTCGGTGTAGTTGTTGTTTAACTTCTCGTGTATAATGTGTCGGTAGGAATCGGTTCCTCATGGTTTGTTTGAGGTCGGTCCAAGAAGTGATTGTTGGAATTTGGAAGTTCTGGATCTTTTTCCTTGTTTGCATCCACTAAGTTCGAGCATATCCTTCAAATTGTATGGTGATGAGGTGAACTTGTTTAGCTTGGGGGGCAGTCATGGTATGCGAACATGAGATCAACTTTTTCTTCCCATTCGATGTACCTGTCTAGATCGTTGTCTCCTTTGAAAGACGGGATCGTGAACTTTGGTTTTGTAAAGAGTTTGGGTGCTTGGAAACGTGGTTGTTCTTCCTCGGGTACCAAAAGTTCAGCATTGTTTGGACTTGGATTCTAGTTTGGTAGATCTAGTTGTGGTTCTTGTCGTTCTCTCACGATTTCATCAAATCTTTCAACTTGAGTCGTGAGTCGGGCAAGTGTGGCTAAGATAGCCGTAAGTGTCTTGTTGTTAGTGTCGCCCATTCTGAAATCATAACACTCAAAAGAAAATTTTAAAGTAAAATAAAATAAAATAAATTCAACAAAGCAAGAAACCTCACAAGTCACTCCAAGAAAGTAACACAACGAGAGGCAAGTAAGCCGATCTTGTACTCTTTAAAACTCACTTTACCAAGTAGTCTTTCACAGTTCGTATCGGAGTTTGATTACTAGCAAAGGCGATAAGAAAAACCTAAAAACTCTAAGAGGCCAAACAAAGGTTAGGCTCCAAGAGAACGAGAATGCAAAGAAGGAAGAAGTATGCAAACTCTTTAGTCCTACTAACACAAAGAAGATAATGCAAAAGAACAATAACAAGGAAAAACAAAAGAACCTAAAGCACTAAGAGTCAAAGAAAAAGAGACCAAACCAGAAAACCTAGAAAACGCTGGATCAACTTGAGCAACGTTTTTGTGGGGGTTACCGGTGTCCAAAAATTCTGAAAAATTTCTTGAATGTCTTTCGATGCGTCAAGAAACCACCTGTAAAATTTCAGAACCAAATACCTTCAGTAGTATCCAGTAGACTATGTTGAACGGTGAGTCCTCAAATAATCTATTTTTCTTAATCACTTTTTTCGAAGTTGTTCTTGATCTCCAAAAAATTCTGATATTTTGTGTGAATGATCTCCAATATATGAAGTTTCAATATGGAAATTTTCACCACGAAATTTATCCTGTAAAATTTTCAAGAAATTCGACAAGATTCTAAACCGAATCTGCCGATGAAACTTGAATGATGTATTTGAAGGCTCCAATGAACTCCGATTGGGGTGAAATTTGGACTGAGGATTACTCTTAGAATTAATATAATATATGGATAAAATCAGCCCTAAATACATTCGTTTGCAATTTTTTGAAATTTTGGCTTTTTTTTTGTTTTTTTTTTGTTTTTTTGTTTTTTTTTTGTTTTTTTTTTGTTTTTTTAAAATTACAAACTAACAAGAAGGATTTAAATATAAATTAAAATTAAATAAAAAGAACCTGAAACGCTGAATCGTTTGTGAACTAGCTCCGTTGGGGTACCTTGACGGTTTTGTGTGCAAGAACAAGCAATATTGCTTGTTTCTCTCCAAGATTCGGCCCAAATCTGATACCAATTGATAGGGAAGCGGTGGCGGATTGATGAACGTTGCTCTTGTTTGAAGAATCAAACCTAGAAAGCTCTAGACTCGATGAAGAACAAATGTGATGAATATGGGAAGGTGGCGGCAGTCGCTAGGATTGTTTAGGGTTTCTTTTATGTGCTAGAATCAAGACAACACGATTAGAATAAAATAAACAAAAGATAAATAAATGAAAGATGAAATAAGATAATAAAGAAATCAAAAAATCTCCCTTATGAAGGTGAACGGTAAAGATGATTGATGGTGCGGATGGATTTGTGGAAAAATATATGGATAATGTCCTATCGAGCCCTCCTAGTCGCAATGAAAAGGCAAACACGATAATATGACTCTAACCAACCCTCCTAGTCGCGATGAAAAGGCAAATTGGAGTGTGAAGATTAATCTCCCTCACAAGAACTTGAAAGAACTCCAAGAGAAGAAGCTTCGAAGGCACAAGGCAATCAACACTTGCAAAAACAAACTCTCGTTGTATTATTGATCAAAGAAATCTGATTTACAAAGTAGAATGAAGCCTCCTTTATATAGAGGCTGAGTTCTAAAGCTCCTAAACAACTAATGAATAAAATAATAATAAACTAAACATGTCTTAACTCTAATTCCTAATAAAATAATAATAACTAAAGATAATATTTTAACCCAACCTTAATTCCTAATAAAATAATAAATCTAATCCTAAAAGATAATGCATCATCCTATATTAAGTTATATTACAAATAATCAATATAAATATTAAACATTCGTAATATTTACAAAATAACGTATTAATCCCGTATAGGATTTCCTGCATGCACCGTCTTCAGTAAAATAACCATATCTTGAGTTCCCGATATCGGATTGATACGATTCAAGAACCGTTGGAAAGATAAGAGACAGACGGTTGTATCTCCAGAAGACATGTCGACCAAATAAGATCAGGATCCCATTCAAAAAGTCGTCGCAAGTCTGCTGCTGTTCTGATCTTCTTTTCCAAAGCTTGGACAAGTGGATCATTTGGAAGAGTTATTACTTCTTCCTTTGATGTGAACCTTGTGATGCATGTATCAGTTAGGTTGTTGCTTGAAAGGTCTAAGGCTTCAAGCTTTGGCAAGTTTCCTAAAAACGACTGGACCGGACCGGTGAGCGCATTATTTGACAAGTTAAGCAAGTATAATGCTTTGAAATCCCCTATTGCTTCAGATACATGCCCTTCAAATTTTTTAGAAGAAAGGTCAATGGAGGTGAAGCTAGTTAGGATTTTCACCAGCTCCAACTCTCGACCTTTCATGGTAACTGCCACTGAATCTTGAAAATAAAAATCACTGAGTTTCAGGATTTCATGTCGGACGTACTCTGAATAGGGTTCATTTTTGTTGGCCTTCATGGAATTCCAGGTCATCAACAATTCTTGCGGTAGTTTACCACTAAAAGAGTTGGAAGCCAAGTCAATAATCTGAAGCATAGGCCAGGTGACATTGTTCCCTCGACAATAAACATCTCCTCTAAAGCTGTTTGACCGTAAAACAAGAACACGCAGCTTGGATGTGCTCTTCAAATGGCAAGGAAATGTGTCGTTAATTCGATTTTTCCCAAGGTCTAATACCTCTAACATTCTGCATTTGGCTAAAGATTTTGGAATCTTTCCAACCAGTCGGTTTTGATTGAGATCTAGAGTTTGTAATAAGCAGTTTTCTGGAAATGTGTCAGGAATGATACCGCTGAGATAGTTTTGCTTCAGATTCAGAACTCCAAAATGCTCACGCATCTGCGTCATCAGGCATTGAGGAATTGACCCGCTCAGAGAATTATTAGATAGATCAAGTGCTACAAGAGATGGAATGTTGCATATGGACTCGGGGATTCTCCCATGAAAATAGTTTCCCGAGAGCGAGAAGAAAACAGCAGTCTGGAGGAAGTCACCAATCTCAGGTGGTATAACACATCTGAAATTGTTGTTTGAGTAATCTAGGTAGCTAGCATATGGTGGAAAAAACGGTTTTTCCCCCTGAAGCAGATTGCCATGAAGGTCAAGCACAGTCGTATATGGATTTATGTGCGAAGGTCTATCAAGTTCTACAAAAAAGTTGAGAGAAAGATTTAGATGCTGAAGATCAGTTTTCCAAATCCAACTGGGAATTTTTCCATGAATTCGGTTGTTTGAAAGGTCTAGGAAGGAAAAATTGGATATGTTCTTCAAGAAATCAGGGAATTTCGTTAAGTTGCAAGAAGCCAAGTTCAACTGGGCTACATTGGGGAAGCGAGGCAACAAAGGCAACGGAAGATTAGTAAAGCTTGAGTCAATAGACAGGTTATTGTATGAAAGATCGAGAACGGTAAGATTCTCCAGTTTCTGAAATGCACTTAGTTGTATTAAGCCGCTGAACTTGTTCCAAGAAAGTGACAGGTGCACTAGACCTTGGATTTCAAATAAAAACATCGGAAATTCCCCCTGTAACCCATTGTGACTCAGATCAATGACTTTAAGCAGCGAAGAAAGCTCACCTTTGACCTCATTGAATCCACCACTGAACTGATTTTCTGCAAGGTCCATCACCTTCAAGGATTGACTCTGAAACAGAGTTGGTGGGACGGTTCCACTGAAAGAGTTTCGTCGTAAGTTAAGTCGTTCGAGAAACAGAAGGCTCGACCAGTTGGTGGAAAGAATGGAGCCATTTAATTGATTGCCGGAAAGGATTAGCTCTGTAAGGTTCCTTAATGACGTGAATGAAGGAACTGGACCAGAGAAATTATTGGAAGAAAAATCCAGATGGACCAGCTGTGTAAGTTTCTCCAGTGTTTTAGGTATTGGACCGGTGAACTTGCAATTGGACAACTCTATCCTTGTCAATTTCCCAAGGTTGCCGATAGATTCTGGTAATTGTCCCCCAAAATCTGTGTCACTAACTACTAGTGACTGAAGAGATGCATTTGGAGGAAATTTCTGAAAAGAACCTTGAAGAAATTCGTTGAAAGACAAATCAAGAGTCTGTAACTTCGGTGATTGAAGGATTTCTTCTGGTACTCTTCCACTGAAGTTATTGGCAGCAAGATGCAAGGAAGTCAGATTCTGAAATACTGCCAAGAATTCTGGAAATGGACCGGAGAAATTGTTGTAGTCCAAACGAATTATTGAAAGAGACTTAAGCTTGACAAGTGAAGGACTAATAGGTCCTGAAAGATAACAACGTCTCATGCTCAGCATTTGCAGATTAGGCAGAGAAGATGATAAAGCTTGGCTCCACTCTTTTCCGTTTGCTGATATATTAATGTCATCAAGATAGAGATTCTTTAGCCCCGTGAGCTTTTGAACGAGCGTCTTCAAATTTGGCTTCTCCAGTTTCAAGAGTGGTCGTCCTAGTGTAAGAAGTAAAAATTCCTGAGATAAGTCGAGAGTAACCAACTTGGTCATGTGTGAAATCCCAATCGGAATTTGCCCAGTGAAGCCTGCATTTGACAAATTAAGATAACTCAACTTTGTCAAATTTTCAAACCCTGAAGGGAACTCGGATAAGAATCCGTTATAAGCCAAATTAAGTTGCTGAAGATGCTGAAGACGGAAAAGACTATTGGAATTGTTGATTTCTCCGGAGATCGACTGGTTGCTCAAGTCAAGTTCGATAACCCGACCACTCGCATCGCAGGTTATACCATCCCAAGAACAGCAATCCGTGCCTTGATTCCACTTCACCAACTTTACAGATAAAGAAGAATTGAGGCTATTTTTCAATCCCAGCAGGAACTCTTGCTGATCGCTTTGACATTCACCAGAAACGGAAAGTGCAGCGAGGGTAAAGAAAATTGCAACATATAGAATGAAGAAGAACCATGAAGCCACTATCCTCATTTTTGTGAGAAAAATGATGGCACAGCTGGAGAGTTACAAATTAAGATGGAAAGCAACGAAGGAGAAATGACTATAACTCGAGCTCTCATGAAATAAAATTTGTTTCCATCAGAGCTTAATGGATGCCACACAACTTACATCATTTTACTGCAGGAAGACTCAAACGGTCAATGGAGATTGGAGAATAAAATTGCCAAAACTCTCTATCAGAATTTGCCTTTTTTCTTTTGTTAAATTTCCATCGTGGAAGATAAATATTGGGTTCACTGGAGTATTGTCCTCAAATTATTCTATCAGCTTGGAAATTATGATCAAATCAATCAAATTCAATAACCAATCAAGTTACTTTCCTATTTCCTGTACTGCTCCTTTCACTGAGAATTTTAGGCATCTGGATAGGGTAAATCTCAAATTACCAGTTAGAATGTGTGGTTGTTGTAGGTTTTTCTTTTATCGACTTTTCTTTAGTGTTTACTTCCACGAAGACTCTGACTCAAAGTTCATTGAAGTTTCAGCTAAGTTGGAAAAATCTAACCATTTGATGGAGTCTTTGGTTCATATCAGACGTGTCTGAAGGTTTAGCTAACTTGGAAAAGTCCATCCAAAGACTCGATCGGTATTAATGATTGAAAGCTTTTTTCTTGTCTATTGGAATTTACACTTTTTTCATTTGATCGGGTAAGGAGTCTTCCACCCGAGAATAAAGAGTCCTCCATCCGAGACCTAATCCGATCCGAAATAATAAAAAAATTATTTTTATTTAATAAAAATAGTGACTTAATTGAAAAAAAATAATATATAGAAGGGTATTATTGTAATTATTCCTAAATATATAAGGTAAAATTATATAGTTTTTTGGGTCGGGTCTGCTATTTTTCACCCTAAACCTGACCTGAACATTACATAAAAACCCCGACCCGAATCTTTTTTTTTATAAAAAAATCTGACCCGATCGGGTCGAGTCGAAACCCATCAGATTCGGATTCCATGCCTATCCCTAATTACAATTCAGGTTTGCCGTAGGCCATTACATTTTTTTTTTCATTTTTTGATCTTTAAACCCAATCATACTTCAAATTTTCATTTTCTTTTTCATTGTGAAAATAAAAATGGTAGACAGAGATTGGAAAATAAAATTACAAAGCATCTATTGGAATTTAGACCTTCCTTTAGTTAAAATCCCACCAATATGACCTTAAACCCAATCAACTTAATTTTCATTTTTTTTAATTGTGAAAAACAAAAATTATATATATTAGAGTGTTGGTCTCATATAGTCTATCGGCTTAGAAATTGTGATCACATTAGTCAAAATTAATGACCAGTCAATTTTTATGTGCATCTTCAAGAAATTGTTTATTCTTTTATTATTTTTTTTGTGAATTATTTTAGTTTGGATAAGCTGATTGCTAAAATATTTTATTTATTAAATAAAATTTTACCTATATTATTTTAATTATAGTTTAATGAATATAATGTAACTTGTATTGTTTTATCGTAGGAAGATTCATACGGTCAATAAAGATTGAAGAATAACATTACAAAAAATTAATTTGTATTTAGGGTAAAGTATAAAAATGGTCCTTTGACTATAGGATAATGATTTGTTGAGTCCTTCAATTATTATAAGTTACAAAATGATCCTCTGACTATAGTGATTTACTTTGTTGAGACCCACGACTATTAAAAGGTACAAAATGATGACTTGACTATTTATTATATTTCAAACTAGTCATTTTTTGGTTAAAAATTAACGATGTTCTTTGTTGGACTTTAACATGTTGGCTGAGATACGATCTCAACGATTATCATATTTCAGTTAGCATGTTAACATCTAGCTCAGATGATAGTTAATTTTTTAACGAAAAATGATGAGTTTGGAACATAATGAATAGTCAAGTGATCATTTTATAACTTTTAATAGTCGAGAGACTCAACAAAATAACTATCTAAAGTCAATGATCATTTTGTACCTTTTAATAGTATGAGACTCAACAAAACAATATCCTATAATATGGAACCATTTGTTTACTTTACCTTAGAATTTATACTTTAATTTAAATTTTCAAAGATTTGATCTTCTAACTGTATGTTAAAATTTTAACTTCCCATTGTGAAAAAACAACAGTTGTATTTACTCGAATGTTGGCCTCAAATTTGTAAGTTAAATGGGGATTGGAGAATAATTTTGCAAAAATTCTTCTAGAATTTACTCTCCTCTTTTGTTAAATTTCCATCAACCCATGCCGTTAAATTTTCAATTTTCCATTATGGAAAATAAGAAATCGTGTTTACTCGAATGTTGACCTCAAATTAGTCTATCAGTTTAGAAATTTTGATTAGTTGAGCCGAAATCATTGACCAAACAAATTTTGATGAACATATTCAAGAAATTGCTTTGTCTTTTTTTTCTCTCTTTTTTAATTATTCAAGTTTTTAGGAAGACTCAAACGATCAATGGAGAATAGAAAATAAAACGGTAAAAACTCTATAAAAACTTAGAATTTTTTTGAGTTAAATTCCCACCAATTCCACCGGTTTTTTTTAATCGAAGAACACAAAAATCGTGTTCACTCGACTGTTCGCTTCAACAAGTTGTTTTTTGCTTGATCTTTATTGGCATCTGGATGGGGTAAATAATCTTTATTTGTTTGTTTATTTGGGCCATTTGAGAAAGACAACCATTTAAGTTTGTGGACCAAATCCAACAAAACCAAACATTGTTGAATCTGGACCGGTTCATGCTGGCCTGTTACTAGGGCTCAATAGGTACTATATAATGGTGTAGATGAAAAATTCTTTACCAGTAAATGCGGCCTCTGCATATCCGGCCGGGAAAAGGAGCCAGCAAGTTTCCCTTCATCGTTTAACCATGCGAGCCAAGGTACTTTAGAAAAGACATTGAATAACCTGTTCTGTTTTTGTCCGAATTTGTTTTCATTTTTTTACAGTAGATCTTTGTGTTTTGTATTTGGCATCCTGCGTGATTTGTAAACAGTGGAAGAAGAAGCGCATGAGAAGACTGAAGCGGAAGCGCCGAAAGATGAGACAGAGATCCAAGTAGACAGATCCATCTCCCCTGTTGTTGTACGAGGTTTCTTAATGTCTTAGTTGATATTGGTGTGCTTTTAGGGTCCGGTTTCGTTTCAGTTTTAAGCTCTGCTTTTGATCCGATTGTCTTTGAGGTCGGTGCTTATCCGACTGTCGAGGTTTCATTGTTGAGAACAGTGAATAGGTTTTATCAAAAGGGTACTCTTTACTTGTGCCTTCGGTGATTTGTTGTATTTAGTGAATGGAATTTTCTCGATGGATCGATTTTTTTCTGCTGTCACTCTCTAACACTCAGTCTTGTTCGCAACCAGAGTTGCGAGACCTAATAAGCCTTAATTGGTTTAGACCGGATTTGGATTAGTGGATAAAGTTTATGAATTCAGGATAAAATTTAGGATAAAATTTGGGACGAATTGTTTGAGTTTTTGTTTTAAATTTAATTGTAAGTTTTTATAATATTATGATTTTATTTGATTTCAATTTAAATTATTTTTTATAACCATATATAATATATGTATATTTTAATTTTTTTCATATGTGAGATATATCATGCAAATTCGACTCTATGTGACTTTAAATTATGACTCTTATTTTTAGCTTGGTTTTCAAATTTTTAAACATTTTAATTTTATTTTTATAATAGGACTTGTTTTAAGTTGGTTCTAAACTTTTTAATATTTCAGTTTCATCCTAAAATTATGATACTTATTCTAAATTAGTCTAAGAACTTTTAAATATTTTAATTTTATTTTTAAACTATCAATATATATTAATTATATATAATGTTAATATAATAAAATCGTTAAAAAATATTGTATTTTAAATATTGATATGTATTATGTATTAACATGATGTGACAAAAGAGGAGGAGAGTGCTCTTAGTGGGTCTAGAAATTATGACCTAAAAGAATATAATAAAATAAAAATGAACAACTTTATCAACCGGCCAAATATGTTTATTCAAATCATTATGTTATTTAAATCTATCATTAATTATTCTTTATATCACATCATACTATTTCATAATTTATATAATTATTTATATGATAATTAATAATTTTTATTAATAATTTTTGTAATAAATTTATTAAAAGAGACATGATTAGTGTAGATTGAAGTTTAAGAATAAAATTAGAATGTTTAAGAGTATGAGAACAAGAGTTATAATTTAAGAATAAAATTAGAATGATGAGAAGTTTAAGGGCCAATTTAAAATAATAATCATAATTTAAAGATGAATTTGCACCTTCAAATGAATCAATTCAAATCTAGAATCATAATTTAAGGACATGTGATATAATTAATTCCGAAAAGAATGACAGTGCACATGTCATGCTAGGGGTGAGTATAACTTGATTTTACTCAAATAATTAATTTTTTTGACTCGTCTCAACGTTAAAAAACTCGACTTGATTAAATTTGTAATTTCATAAATTTTACTTGGCTAAAAAAATTTAAATAAAGTTTGAATTATAAAATATGACTCAAATAACTCAAATATTTTAGTAATTAGTGAATTAGTTTTTAAGTTTTAGTCAAGTTTCTTAACTTTGTATGATATATATATATATATATATATATATATATATATATATATATCACATATGGAAATATATATAGAAAGCTGTTTAAATTTCAATACCATGATTTTATAAAATTTACAATTGAATTTAAACATAAAATTAAACAACTCAAATAAACTTTTATAAGCTCAATTCGACTCAAGAGGTAGTACATGAATATTCACCTGTTGTCTGTTAGTGGGGGAGTTAACCCGGAGATTCGTTGATCAAAATTTTGTTGTTGAATCGATTGAATACTCACTCCTAAGTTAGGATGTGAAAAGCATAGTATAGGGGCCAAATTGAAATATAGGTAAAACATAGGGGGAAAAGTGGTATTAAGCCTTTACCTTTTCTGTTCCTCCAATAATAAAGGAATTGGGCTTTGATGCTGAAAGAGAAGTCCATTTTCCCGGTAACCAACCAGAGACCCGAAAGGGTCCTCACTTTTCTAATCACAAGTATAGAGGGAATTTGCCTTCTAGCCAGATATCAACCGACTATCGCACTTGAAGCTTGCAAAAACACTCCTCGCATTTCGATCATAAACAAACAGTGTTTGGGGGGAAAACTTAAAACAATGGAAATGGACATCGACGGCGCCTCTAAACCCAAAGGTATCCCTTTTTCGGTCCTTATCATTCGATCTTATTCTTTGGTTGCATCATCTTACAAATTGTTCAGCTTTTCTTATCTTCCTGTATGTGTGTTTTGCCTCTTTGAAGACGAAAAAGCATGCGAACAAGAGAAGGAAAAGGGGAAACAAATCGTGGCCCTTTTAGTAGGCGCACCAGCAAGCGGCAAGTCCACTTTTTGCGAGAACGTCATGAGGGCCTCTTCACGTCCCTGGGTTCGAATATGCCAGGTTTGATTTTCCATCATTAATGGAAATCTGGTGTATTAATATTAAAGTCAGGTTGTAAATGGCACAATATTGCTTGCACCCATTGCATTGTTTTAGCTAAATGAGTCATCAATCTCATGATTCGTTTTACCTGGTAGCAAGGAGTGGAAGTTTATTTGATGTTTTGAATTTTGATCTTGCTATTTTAGGGTCAATGAATTGGTGTTGCTAGCGAGAAAAGTGTTTTTAAAATGTTTAAAAAGATCGGTTTGCTTATGCTTGCAGGATACTATTAACAATGGTAAAGCTGGGAGTAAGCCTCTGTGCTTAAAAAGTGCAGCTGCTTCATTGAAGGAGGGAAAGAGTGTGTTTATTGATAGATGTAACTTAGGTAAAGATCAACGGGTGGATTTTGTGAAGCTTGGTGGTTCAGAAGTGGAGGTGCATGCTGTGGTGCTTGATCTTCCTGCCAAGCTTTGTATATCTCGTATAGCCAAACGCACTGGGCATGAGGGTAATCTGCAAGGTGGAAAAGCAGCGGCAGTTGTGAATAGAATGCTGCAAAACAAAGAATTGCCTAAGTTGAGTGAAGGGTTCTCTCGTATCACTTTTTGCCGGAATGAGACTGATGTTGAAACTGCTGTTAATACCTACGCTGCAGTCGGTCCTTTGGACACTCTTTCGCACGGCTGTTTCGGCCAGAAAGATCCCAGTGCCAAAACTCAACTTGGCATACTGAAGTTCTTAAAGCGACCACATGAAACTGATACTCAAGATTCTGTGCCTTCTCAACCTACTGAGGGAAACAGTCAGTGCGGAAAAACACAAGAAACTGTTTCATCATCGTCAGGCATGGCTAATCAGAAGATAAAAGTCAGTGAAGATCCAGTGCCAGGTTCTATCAGCCAGGATGATTCTGATGTTCCTACTCTGGCATTTCCGTCTATTTCTACAGCAGATTTCCAATTCAACCTTGAGAAGGCATCTGATATTATTGTTCAGAAAGTAGAGGAATTCATGGACAAGCTTGGAAATGCCAAGCTTGTTTTAGTGGACTTGACTGAAAGATCAAAGATTTTGTCCTTGGTTAGGGCTAAAGCTGCTGAAAAGAACATTGATTCCAAAAGGTTCTTTACATTTGTAGGAGATATATGCCAACTGTATACAAAAGGAGGTTTGCGGTGCAATGTAATAGCTAATGCTGCCAACTGGTAAGTCCTTTGTATATACACCATATTTTTCCATGCTCAGTGGCTAAGTAGTTAAGTATGATTGTTAACTTTAGCTGTAGGAACTCTGGTAGTAGTTAATTTTCATATCTTTGAGTCTTTTAGATTTGCTGTTATAGGACACCATGTACAGTAATGCTATAGATCTCATCCTCCAAAATTGATAATATCTATGAAGAAAGATCTGTCACTGGTTTTAACTATGCTTATAATGAAATGCAATAATTTTTCTACCTTGATGAAGAAAGGTCTATCACTGGTTTTAACGTGGAATCTTTAATCCTTCTTCTTTAGGATCTCTCAAATAGTTAGATCCTTCTGGAAGTATTTCTGTCAACTGTGATGCTATATCATACCTGTTTGTAATAACAATGGGAAAAGAACATGATTCTTCTAACAGAATATGCGTGATTGTTTTTCTACAAACGTTAACTAAGAGATCCTTTTGTCTAGGCGTTTGAAGCCTGGGGGTGGTGGTGTAAATGCTGCAATTTTCAATGCTGCTGGTGCTGCTCTAGAGGCTGCAACCATGGACAGGGCTAAATCTCTTCACCCTGGGAATGCCCTTGTTGTTCCTCTCCCGTCGACTTCTCCTTTGTATTATAAGGAAGGGGTGACCCATGTGATACATGTTCTTGGTCCAAATATGAACCCAAATAGACCGAATTGTCTTGATAATGACTATATTAAAGGCTGCAAAGTTCTTGAGGATGCTTACTCATCACTGTTCAAAGGGTTTCTATCTGTAGCAAATACCCAAGTTTCATTTCCCAGTAGTGGAAGTATTTCATCAGGGCCTTCAAAACTGAAAGAGGATACTAGTGGAACTAAGACGAATTCCTGGGCCCCATGCCTTCAGGCTCTATATAACATAGCCATGCAGCCTGAGAAGCATAACAAGCAAGTGCTAGAGGCCTCGGATGATCTTGTTGTAATAAATGATATGTACCCAAAGGTAAATATTCACGGCCTTCATCCAGCCTATCCTCTTCCAATAGCACTCAACAAATGGAGGGTTGATTTTTTTTCCTACTTATGCAGGCAAAACGGCATCTGTTGGTGTTGGCGAGAATCAAAGGTCTTGATTGCTTGGCAGATGTACGCAAAGAGCACCTTCACTTGTTAAAAACAATGCATGAAGTGGGTTTGAGATGGACTAATAAGTTCTTAGGTGAAGATGCATCATTGGTCATCCGCCTAGGATATCACTCGGTATGCTGAACACCTTTGCTTTTTTTGTTTACATTGTTTTTAGGTCCATTAAACCTAAATTCAACTCAGTGCAGGTACTCATGGTGCTTCTAAGCTCATGCAATTTATTCTCTCCTTCAAAAATATTTAGCGTCGAAAGAACCTTAGTTGCTTGTGCCTCTAGACCTAAGATTTGAATGAATCCCGTGGAATGTAGAGGACCAAATAGAAGAATTATTTGATTAGATTCACTTTTATGCAGCATCTGGTTATTTAGGACAGAAATAGCATTCTGATGCTTACATGCATTTGCCAAAGGAAAATATAGATGTAATCTTGTAGATGTGAACAAAAAGATAATGTTATGGCCCAATGTGTTTATGGATGAACTGATGAAGTGCTAAATAGTTATAGCTGAAGTATTTTAGGATAATCATTTAACATTCATGAAAGAAGTTTAAGAACGGGGTAGTATGGTCATACATGTAGGACACTAGCATTTTATGCTTGGTCAAAATATGCTGCCAATCTTTATACTTGGAGAAGTTTGAGATTTAGTCCATGCACTTAAAGGTCAATAATTTTACCTTTGCGATTTAAAAATTCTAGGCCAGTTGTCAACATCATATTTTTGGTCAAGATTTGCTTACACTGAGTTTGTAATGATTTGCTTCTGAAGTTTGTATGACTGTATAGGTGTATTGGTAGAAATACAGTTTCAATGATTGGACTAGGATTTTTAAATCGGAAAAGTTTCGATTTTTAACCTTTTAAGTACAGGGACTGACTGCATATTTTGACCTTTTATGCTTTTGATTGCAATCGATGTACCCATGTATCTTGGTCTGTTTCTAACTTTGAACCCTTTGATTGGAAAAACCCATTTGAAAATATGGTTTATTTCATTTCTCGTGCAGATCCCTTCGATGCGCCAGCTGCACCTGCATGTTATTAGCCAAGATTTTGATTCCAAATGTCTCAAGCATAAGAAGCATTGGAACTCTTTCACTACTGCTTTTTTCCGTGACTCTGTAGATGTAATTGAGGAAGTTAATAACCATGGAAAAGCTACAATTCTAGATGACAACAAACTATTGTCAATGGAGTTGCGTTGCCACAGGTGTAGAAGTGCACACCCTAACATTCCCAGGCTAAAATCACATATCAGCAACTGCCAAGATCCTTTCCCTGCGGAATTACAGAAAAAGGGTCGACTAGTGCCTGTGCATACTAACTCCGACATTGACCCCTAGGTATTTTAACCAACATGTTTCCCTGAACTTTTCTGTATATACAATGAAAAACACCAGCTGTAGTACAACATTTTGCTCAACTTGTAGTTCAGAACCACTCAAGAATCAGTTTATGTAGTTCAGATGTTTATGAGTTTGATGACATGATATTCAGAAATCACAGCATGTATTCACAGCCCATTATATCTGAATCACTTGAGAACCGGCTTCTTCCTTGTCCTGGTAAATTGGACGTCTCCATGAAGAACAGAGCTTATGAATCTCCCTATATCTTCTACGCTCATGTCACCTTTAAATGCTGCAAACTTTCTTTTCCGTGGTTTGAAGGCCACCAGGATATTATCCGATGATTTATATGCGGTTTTATCAAATGCTCTTAAAAACGATGGTTGCTTCCTAGCGTCTAAGAGGGTATACGGTACAGAATTCTTTGAACCAGAGGCCACGTTCTGTCTTCTTGATAATGATTTCTGTGAAACCTAAGTACATATGTTTATGTTTAACAATAGAAATACATAAAATCATCATTAAAAAGATACGTTCTTAGAGGATAGGAAATCTTCTCACCTTCAATAAAAAGGACTCCAGCCTTTTCCTAGCTCGGGATGATCGGAATGCACCTATGATACATACAGGAGTTCCATCCCCACAGTGAGCATCAAAGTTCGATTCTGTAAGCAAAGGTAATCGTCTCTCTGCAGAATCTGTCTGTTTTGATGAAGCTATCTTTTTATTCTTCTTCTCAAAACTATCGAGCATCGAGCTGAGATCTTTGATTGCAGAATTCAAATCATTTACCGAAATACCGGATTTCAAGATGTGCTTCCCTCCATTGGACAACCTTCCGATTACAGCTGGAAGTGTATCGACTCCTAACTTCTTCACAGCTGGTTCAGAAACATCATGAACCTACATACATAATGAAAGAGACAGAAAACTCTGTAGTTTGTGATAACTGATATGCAGGCTACCCTTTCCCAAGAACAAAATAGAACAGAAGAGACTCATTTCTAATTCGATTAAGCATTTAAAGCACAGAATAGAACTTGATAACATACCTCAGCATCATAGAAAGTGAATCTTTTATGATACAAGCCGCTGAGTACGCGCCAGATAACAGGTGTGTCCTTTTTGGTAGAAAGAAGCATCACCCTTGGGTTTCGTTTGACATGACTAGAAGACGAGTCAAAATGATTTAGGCTAATCCTTACTGAAAACCTAGGTAAATGATCTTGGCAAAATGTTTTGACATTCGTGGTAACCAAATCTCCCTTATATTCTTTCAGAGAACCCTTCTCATTTCCTTTGTATGAGTAAACAAACAACCTTGGAGCACTCCGTGGATGCATACCAAGATCATTACATAAAAAGTACTCGGTTCCACAATTTATGCTCCCAACCTGTTGCAAGAAACCGGTCGGATATCAAAAGCACTGATTAGCAAATACAAGTTACTGAAATATTCAAGACTGCAACATTACCTTTATAGCTCCTTGCAGTAACCTTGCCACCTCTTGTATGATAGATTCATAATTTTGTTTTGCCTGCTGAGAAGATGATAGTGTATGGGATAGCAAAAGCCAAGTCATCCCTTGATCAGATATTCCTTTCTTGAAGATCTTAGAATTTATTGCTTTTATGCTCTTAGGTGAACTCTTAGATGAACCGCCAAATAAGTAAGAGAAAATATCGCTGATGCTAAACCCGAATAAACTCGATTACCGAAGGAAAACGAGGAAGTCCAAGAACTTCCCTGTCCACCCATATGCTGTGATCCACCTGGTTCAGATGTAAACCCACTTTGTCCAGGACCATCACTAGTGGAGTAAGTAGATCCACCACCATCCCCGGCGGGGGCTTGTTCATCTTCATGCATATCATAGTTTTTTCTATTTTCCTTATCTGATAAAATGTCATATGCTGATAAAACAAGAAGGATGAATCAGAACTTTGCAGACAGAGACAGCAAAAAACAGTATGAACTATGAAAGTTCAAAACCTTTTTTCACAATTCAAGTGAGAAAAAGAGAATGAATTAAAGAATAGGTATAAGAAAATGCAGCAAAACATAAAAGAAATGTAAGGAAGAAGTTGGAGATACCGTTGTTGATCTCTGCAAACTTCTCTTTTGCTCTTTTGCTTTTATTCTTGTCTGGGTGGTATATAAGAGAGAGCCTATTCAGTACAATTCATGCAAAACAATTAGGGTTATGTTTGTAGGACTAGGCATAAGCATGCATGTATTAATAAATCTACTCCAATTCTTCAAAGAAAAAAATACCATAATAAGAATGGAACTAATGAACAATTTCAAGGGGAAATAAACTGACAAAAGAAATATGAATTGAATGAAAGTAAGAAGTTAATACCACAAATTTAAGTATTTCTCATTGGACAGAAAATGGCATTTGATTTATTCCAGATTTATAGTTGTTGAGTTAATCGATCGATGGAATCGGCCAAGAGAGGAGTGAATTGGCGATAAAAATTTTTGTGGAAGCTTTTGCAGAAAATTGAAAGTAATTGCACAGCGATTTACAGTGGTTCGACTTTATCAACCAAAGTCTACGTCCACTACCTTAGCTATCCACACTAAGAATTTTCCAACAAATTCACTAATTTGTTCTTTCTTTTGAGGCCAAAGAGATAACCTTACAACTCCCTCAAGAATATACCCCAATTCTTGAGAACATTCTTTTCTCAAAGAGAAGATTATAAATTTGCAAACTTACAAGAAAAAACCTCACAAGGCAAATATGTTTGCACAATTCTAGAACAAAGAAAAAACACTCAAGAATAAATACAATTGAGCACAATAAGTGTTATTGAAAGCAAAATGAATATTTAATGAAAAATAGGCTTGAAATGCTCAAACTTGAGGCTTGATGCTTTCTCTTTGATTCTCTCTTGATTCTAATTGCTTGATGTTTCTTATTTTTGATCAATGGCTTCTAAGCTTGTTTAAATACACCTTCAAATGATTCTGAACGTTGGGGATGCTTAGTGGAGTCAATATAGTCGTTTAAGTGTGAAAACAATTAATAAAATCAGTTGGGAGCGTCAGTGCATCGATGCATACCCTAGGTGCATCGGTACATCAGTGTAAAATTCAAATATTTTGACCGTTGGACTCTCAGTGCATCGGTGCACTAAGAGTGCATCGATGCATGAAATGCATTCGATGTTTTGAAATAGCCTGAGTGCATCGATGCATGGTCTTGTGCATCGATGCATCAAATGCACTAAGTGCATCGATGCATGGTATGTGAATCGATGCATAAAATGCATTCGATGTTCAATTAATTCCATGGTGCATCGATGCATGGATTGGTGCATCGGTGTATCACTTTGAAAATTTGATTTTAGGCTTGATTTTGGTTCAAAATACTTTGTGAAAATTTGTTTAAAAATAGTGTAGTATAAAACACAAATTTACACATTTAGTAAGGTTTAAAATTGATCTTGAAAGACTTGGAGTAATAGCTTGATATTCGAGTAATTAAATCGAATATACTTTTAGAAAAATCATTTGTAAAATCTTAAAATTCATTTAACTTAAATTGTTATATCGAAACATCAAAATGTTTTCAATAATCTCCCCCTTTTGATATAACAAAACTCTTGAGTAATTTTAAGATTTTCTTTGAAAATAAGTTTTGAAATCAATTTTGAAATTACTCCAAATTACTCCCCCTTACTATAACAATTCTCCCCTTTTAAAACTTTTAACACTTAACACTTCTCCCCCTTTTTGTTAAATCAAAAAGACTCAAAAACTGAAGGCTTTGAAAAACATAGCCAATTGATTAAACATTTTAATTGAATATAACTTAAGCTGCTAAGATCAAAGATCAAAAGAGAGGTTAGCCATTAGTGTTCATAATCAATATTCATAATAAAATGTGAAACGGTAAATTGGTCATATTTCAACTAAAAAAATAAATGATGCATATATTGAAACAAACCAATAAAAGTTCAAATATCCATCAAACAAACATCCAACAATCAAAGAAAGACAACCCAAAATGTTTTAACAATTTAAATTCAAGTTCAAACCCAAAAACAATCAAAGCAAGATAAGTCTATTCATGCATCGAAGGATCGAGAGAAGGAGGAGGGTAACGAGCTCTCATCTCAAGCGTGAGTGCATCCAAACGATCATTCATATCTTTTTGTCGAGCTCCCAAGGTAGAGAGCAAGATAAGTCTATTGTTTTGCACGATTTAATGATATAAGCAGATTTTGAAGATGAAAAGCACGAAGAAACCGATGATTTTCCGATGATTTTGAGCAAAAGGAGGATTTAGAGTGAGAGAGGGACGAACGGCGGGAGAGTTTTTAGTTTTAGGGTATGAGAAAATGAAGAAAATGAGGCATTTTAACCCAAAACCTGACGGATGCATCGATGCATGACCCTGTGCATCGATGCACATTCAAGGCGTGCATCGGTGCATCAGCAAGATGAATCGATGCACATTCAAAGGGATGCATCGATGCACTGTTAAGTGTATCGATGCATAAAGCACAAAAATGTCAAAAATCCGTTTTAAACACTTAAAATGCTAAATTAATTAGCTCTAGTGGTATTGACAACTCATATATTGAAAATTAATCATGTTCAATCAATCAAATTAATCTTTAAACAACATTTGAACATAAAATTAATTTTCACCAAATAACATAAACTCCCCCTAACTAATAGCATAGAATGCAATCAAAAATTATTATTATAAGCATTTTTCATTTATTCTTAAAAGTTAAAATTATTTTAAACACTAAGTGAAGATAGGTTGGTTAAACCTAATTCTCTCCTAAGTGTCCAAAATCTTTTCTTGTCTAAAGGCTTTGTAAAAATATCCGCTAATTGGTGCAAAGTATCAACAAATTCTAGAACTACATCTTCCTTAGCGACATGGTCTCTAATGAAGTGATGTCTTATTTCAATATGTTTAGTTCTAGAGTGTTGGATGTGATTTTTAGTGAGACAAATAGCACTAGTATTGTCACACTTGATAGGAATAGTACCTACTTCAATTCCATAATCAAAAAGTTGTTGTTTCATCCATAAAACTTGTGCACAACAACTACCAGCTGAAATGTATT